ATTTTATCAGCTATTATGACAATAGTCATAGAAAAATTAATATATTACACATAAAAATGAGAGAAAATAAAAAAAATCGTGCTCATGCATTCTAATAAAGCCGTTTTTCAAGTAGATCAATTTGTGCAGATATTGAATCAGTAAATTTTATCATAGTTTCTCGCAGACTGACCTACTTAAGCAGCATTATGTATATGTTAGTAAATTTATAACGAAGAAAAGATGAAAAACACAGAAAACATTTTTGTGAAAGGAGATTGCAGATTTTCCCAGACAGCAGTATTTATCTTAAGAAATTGAATATTATAGAACATTTTCTTATGTAAATTAAAAAAAAACTTGAGAAAACTAGCAAATGCAAAAACAATCCATCTACATACAGAGTGAATTGCAAAAAAACGGTGATTAGTATTACGGAAATTTTTTTTTAATAATCGAGGATTTCAGTAATATCTTTAGTAATATTAAACCATGTCAAAGATATGGAAATAAAGTGGAATCTCTCGAAATATAATATCTAAGATTATGATACCAAGTTTCGAGAATAAAAATAATTACAAATGAAAAGTAAGGCTACACGAATATTACAGAAACAAGAAAATCTGAGGAAGAACTCTACATTGGTTTTATTATCCTAACTTTGAAACATTTTGTGGAATAATTTTTCGGTTACAACCAGGTCTCCTAAGCAATGTGTTTTTGTTTCATGTCAAAATATGCCTTGGTTCATTTTTTAGAGCCAAATGAATTTGCCACCCACAATTTAGGACGTTTTTATTATAATTATTTTGGAGTTATTGTGTAATACGACGAGGTGGCTTTGGTGACTGTTATCAGTATGTCATATTGACACTTACATTTTGTTTACCTATGATTGATCATGGTTTTTAGTGTCGAAGATTGTACGAAAGCCGCTGCTCTGGTTAAAGATTAGTGAAATTATGAATATGTGGTTAGAGTACTACACACTTATCGCTCTACCATCCAAAGGGTAGTGGTACATATTATACGAACTGGAACAAACAAGTGTAAAGCGGGAAGTGGCAGGAAGCGCAAACTACCGCTTTAGATGATCGTCTTATATGAGTCAACGCTTTGCGGGATCGTCATTTAACAGAGTGCAAACAAGAAATCAGTTTCAAGAGGTTCAAGGCAATAATGTAAGTGTATTTACAGTTCGTCGAAGATTACATAAATTTGGTTTGCAAAGTTGCAGACCAGCAACTAGGCCCAAATTACTTCCACGGCACAGAATGGCTAGACTGCAATTCTCCAGGGAACATTTACATTGGAATTTAGGACAATGGAGTAATGTTCTTTTTACGGTGAGTCGAGATACTGTCTTTACTCATCAGATGAGAGCGAACGAGTATGGCGTCGAACTGGAGAGAGATTTCAGAGTGCGCTTCAGCAACCGCGTTAGCATGGAGGTGGTTCGGTGATGGTATCGCCAGGAATATCCCGAGAGGCGCACACTAAATTGGTATTTATTGTGGGTTCGTTGGCTACACATCGGTATATTTAGGAAATTTTAGCGAATCACTAGTACCCTTTTCTCAATAGATCGGCGATGATTTTCTATTATTGCAAAATAATACACGACCCCAATCTGCAATGTGTGCCACGCAATATTTAGAGGAAGTTGGTATTAATAAAATGAACTGGCCAGCGTGTTCGCCAGATCTGAACTCAATAGAGCACGTTTGGGAGGTGCTTGGTAGAAATATTAGAGGTCGCGAAGTCGCGCCAGCCTCAATTAACGATCTTCGCTTGGCTCTAGAAGAGTATTGCGATATTCTCAACCTCATAGACAGCATAAGCCGACGTGTACAGGTAGTTATAGAGGCTAGGGGAGGCAATACAAAGTGTTAAGGATTTTTTAGTAGTTTTTCTTTGTTATTTACGTACTTATGTAGGTTAAGTTACATTTAAGTTGTTTTTTATGTTTTGTTATTGTTATCATTATTCATTAAAACCACGATCATGTCGTTGCTTTTAATCATTATTTAAATACAGTGTTTCTGGGATGTCGATATGACATTCCTTCGATATCAGTCACCACAGCCCCCATGTAACCCCCAAATTAATACAAAGATAATCGAATAATAGGAAAAGTCGTTAATTGTGGATGGCAAAGTCATTTCGCTCCTTAAAATGAACCAATCCGTATTTTCACATGAAACAAAAAACATAATACTTAGAAGACATGATTGCAACCGAAAAATAAGGTTTTACGAAAATCCGCTAACGGAATTATTCCACAAGATATTTCAAAGTTAGAATAAAAATCACCTTTCGATTAACCCCGTATAAATTTTTACCAAGTATGCCAAAAAAAAAATCATCAAAATAGGGCTAAAAATAAAAAACTTAAATACTTAGGTTATTTAAGAATCCATTAGAGAATATACTTCTTAGAGAACCTTGCAATATTTTCGAAGTTTGAAAGATGATTTTCTACTAGAAAAGAATCTGGTCGTTATAAAGTCGTTCCAGGAACTCACTTTAAAACGTCTGACAAAATTATAAAGTTATATACTTACTTCAAAAAGTTTAAAAGTTCGATAAACAATGTAAGTTGTTGTCATAAATAAAACTGTTAAGAATAAATCATGGAATAATAGTATATTACTTTATGAGGCGGAGAAGATGACTTTTCTTGACGCGCTCGATATTACGCGCCGAACGAAGTGAGGCGCGTAATAGAGGGCAAATCAAGAAAAGTCGCTTCTTTGCCGAATGAAGTATACTATTTTTTCTTCAAACGTAGCAATTTTCAACCATAAATAGTACAATTCATACGCTATTTTTACTCGAAATTAACTGTGACAACTATCAAAGTCGTCTAGATGTTAGAAATTAAAATAATTAAGTCGTAGGTGGGATTTGCGTTCTGCCTGGTTACAGTTGTTTGACAGTTTTTTGCAATTATTAAAGACAGCTTATTGTTGTTGCAACCGCAAGCGCAAATTTAGTGCAAAAATGGAAAACCTAAACGAAATTGAGTCCGCGGCTAATGATGCAGTAGCACGTTTGGGGCCTCCAAGTCCGGAATAAAGTATCGGTTAGCGTACAAGCACTTCCAAGAGTGGTGCGATACAAGAGGAGTACGGCAAGTTACCGAAGACGTTTTACTGGCATATTTTAATATAATGGAAAATGAAAATAAATGGAAATCTTTACAATGTGGTCACGATACTCTATGATAAAATCAGAGTTAGTTATTAGAAAAAAATGTGGATATAAGCAAATTTTTAAAGTTACGTGCCTTTCTGAAAAAAAAAACAAGCGAAGGATATACTGCAAAGAAGTCTAAAGTTTTCACTAAAGACGAGTTTGATAAATTATTGTTTAAGCGCCAGATAAGTTATTTAGGATTAAGTAAAAAAATTATATTGCAAAGCATGTAGTATACTCTACTAAATTATAAAAATATTTCAGATTGTTTTGTTAATTGGGGTTACCGGCGCCTGTCGATGCGACGAAATGGTAAAAATGAAGACTGTGGACATTGAGGATAAAGAAAATGTAATAATTATCAAAATCCCAGACAGTAAAACACGACAAATTAGATCTTTTACGATAATTGGTCAAAACTACATTAAACTGTATAAAAAGTATGCATCACTGCGGCCTGAAAATTTCACAGAAAACCGATTTTTATCAAGTACCAAAATGGAAAGTGTTACCGAAGCGTCATAGGAATACATTCGATCAGCGCAGTAGCCCAAAAAGTAGCTAGTTATTTAAATTTAAACGATGCAAGCGCATACACGGGTCACTCTTTACGACGAACTTCAGCAACACTTTTAATTGATGGAGGCGGAAATCTAGAATGCCTCAAACGACATGGGGCTGGAAATCAAGCACGGTTGCCGAAGGATATATAGAGGGTTCAATAAGAAATAAGAACGATAATGCTCAAAAAATTTTAAACCCCATGATTCGCCAACATCGGGAATGATTGCTGAAAGTTGTTCTCGACCATTAGTATCATCAAAAATTACCAATGCGTATCAAGAGTCGGGAATATTTTTGCACGGTTTCAATTTTGAAAATGCCTCATTAACTAATTGTACTTTTAATATTACTATAAATAAAAAATGATGTTTAATTGTTGTTAGTGACATTTGTATTGTTGCTTTGTGACATGTTTCATATTGTTGACATGACAACATTTTTCCTTCCGCCGTAAAGAAATGAGAAAAAAAACTGCTGCCGGCGGAGACATCAAACTTTGACAGGATCAAGTTAGATAAGTAATGTCATCATTATTTGATGTTTGAAGAAAAAATTAATTTGATTTTCGATTTATAAATCAAAAAGATAATAATAAAGGTAAGAAATGGTACAAGATGTCCGGTTAGGTATTCTAAGTGGGCCTTACTCCTCATAAACTACAAACACTTTGATATATTTCCCTAAATCAAGGTGTGTAGAATTTTACGGATAATTCTGTACATTGATACATTATTATTCCTTCCTCGTGACGTTTGGTTTTCGACTACAGCAAACATTATCAAAGTTCGAAGCTGATTTCCACTAACTAAAGCTTCAAGAGTTGAAGCATTTTGTCTTCGAGAATATTTGACGCAATCGCGAACGAAAATAATAGTGTCAAGGAAGAAATAATTTCAGAACAGTAATCTATAAACCTGGAAAACAATGTATCTTTCCACTTTTCCTAATATTGTTATTGTCCTCCAATTAGAAATGTTTTTTATACTACTTTATACTACTTAATTAGGTCAGTGTTTGACAAACTATCATTTATTATTTATATGAAAAACGGCTCTATGAAAAATAAAGAAGAAAAGAGCGCAGTATTCACAGAGTCAAAGTAACAACGTCCAACAACCAAACAGTCCAAAAGAAAGACAACGCACCAAAGCACTATAGCACTATATGTAGAGTACATGTCAGAAGAAGCATTCCCTAAGGCTGAGAAAGCCAAGATATCTCACAAGCATGTGTTCTCTAGTGTCTCTATTGTTGCTCACCTGTACGTCCATGGAGAATGAAGAATGGTACTGCGGTTCGATCAAACCTTCCAACATACTCGAGTCGTCGTCTCCATGCATGTCGTTTATGTCGTTCTGCTCCATGCTTCGAAGACAGCGGCTGCACATTTGGCCTTGTCTAAAACGAAAATAACATTAAATCAAAGATAAAATTACTTGGTTTTATGCTTGTAGAATTCTTGGAGGCGAAATTGTTGCACAGCATAAGAAATACTTTATTGCCCTCATTGGAATCAACACAGAATATGTAGGATCTTCCCGCCTACTACAATCTAACTCAAGGGTTAGGACTTTTAGGAACAAAAATAAGCTTTTTCGAGAAATCCTACATTCAAATAATTAGCGTGAAAATAAGTAAAATAAAGTAGCGGACAAAAGAAGAAACATGGTGCAACAAAACCGGAACACTTCGGTCAAGGACAAAATTCCCCAAGACACTGAAGATGAGGTATCGATACTGTGATAGTACAAAGGAATAACCCTCTGATAATCGTTAGAAAACCAAAAAGATTAAAAATCCTAATTCCAGTCTCGGAATTAGAGTGAAATAACGACGCAAATGCAACCTTGGCACTTAAAATTCTGGGTTTTTGCAGACAGTCAGTTGGAATATCTAGACGAGAAAAGGCAACAAATGAGAGAGTCCTAGAAATTATGGAAATTGCACATTCGATAACATATTGCTTAAGAAAAAAAGTTGATTTAGTACGGCCGTGTAAAACTAACGAAATAATACCGAGATAAGTTATAGAATGGGTAGCTTGAGGTAGATGCAGAAAACTGAAAAGACTAGGAAGATATCAGAATTATTCGAAGTTGGACAAAAGTTTCATGGTTTTCTGGTAAGTAAAAAAGTTGCCCTATTCAAGCCGAATCGCGAATGTTTCTCAGCCACGAAGCTTGCTTTCTGTTTACACTTTTTTTCTTTGACAAATAGCTGCAGTATTTCATATCTATCTACGGTTAATATATGCTGATGCTAGGCAGATTTAAAATTCACTCATCACACATAACTACGGTATAAAAGGGATTGATTTCTGGGGGAGTGATCTCTTTCCGTGTTATCGAGCCTCCGTGATCCAATAAGCTGAAGTATCTCCCACTAGGGATGTAGAGTTGTGTCATAGAGGTAGCACCTTTTATCGGAATGACCACCATCGAGCGTCATAGACGCGAGATGGTTCTTGATAACTGGTCATCATAAGACAACCAACTCTCACTTATGGCTCCTCGTGCCACACTTTGGGCAACTGCGTTGGTCTGCAGGCTATAATAAGTGAGGGTAGGCAGATATGGCGAAAATTCCACCGATCGATTGCCGGTATAAGCAATTCCTCGTTTACTGGGGTGGAGGAGCTAGTAAACGGTAGGGCATCCCTTTGTCCGGAAGTTGGAAAACAGGATTCAAAGGCGGAAGAATGTGGAAGCGGTCAACGGCATAGAGATGGGGAAGAAAGATTGGGACAAGACAGCTCATTAAAGATCCGGATTGGATAAGTCCTAGTAGAATCAAATGGCTATGCTTGCAGCGAAATTCAATTCCGGAGTAAGCACCTCAATCGGATCTCCAGGAGGAGCAGTTACAAGTATAACAAAAGAATAAAATGCAAAGAAGACATCAGATAGGCACATGAACATGAAAACCCTAAAACGAAAGGTAAAATCCATAATGCAGTACAAGAAATGGCACACATGAATTAAATATTCTGGGAATAAGCGAAATGCGTTGGCCAGGTTGGTCACTTACTATTTCTGGAACAGATAACGGCAAACATGAATTAGGTGTCAGCATTATATTAACAAAAGAAGTGGCAAAATCATCCAATTCAGCAAATGATATCATCAAAAAACAAGCCATTGACCAATAATTCAGTAGTCCTACACAAAGGAAAGAAGAGTTGAGACTACAAGTTATCGTGACAAGGTTGAAAAAGCAAGACCTAACAATTGTCATAAGTGACTTCAACGCCAAAGTTGGGGCCAGCAAAACATCATCTGTAGTTGAACCATTTGGACTAGGAAACCGGAACGATCTGAGAGATAAATTGGAGATTTTTGCACAAGGAAATCAATTAGTAATAATCAACACCTGGTTTAAGCTACACCCAAGGAAATTATACACCTGGAAATCTCCACCGGATTCTGTGGAAAGGATTCTAAGAAAACAGAGTGATTCCATGCTAGTAAATAAGAGGTATAGGAACAGCTGTACATCTGTCAAAACATCTCGGGGGCAGACATAAATTCTGATCATGTACCAGTCGTAGGTAATTTCACAGTCAGAATGAAGAAGGTTACAAGTAACTCAATGAAGAGGTATGATAAGAAAACTGAAAGATTCCAATTTTCGACTAAAGGTTAGTAAAAACCTTAATACAAAGGTGCTTAAAATGCAGGAATGCAGGAACTATAGACAAAAGTTTAACCATCATACAAGAAATAGTGAGAGAAATAAAGGAACAACACCTGAAGAAAGATAAAGAGAACCGGCAATCGTGGATGACCGATGACATACTTGAATTTATGGACCAGAGAAAAAATCAAAGAAAATCTCCAAGAATATAAGAGAATACGTTGAGAATGACGTTGACAGTGGTACAGATTTTTTTATTGTCTTATAAAGGTATTAACTCAAACCTATAATATTTATAAATGTTTTATGTTTTGTAGAAGGTTTGTCGGAATGACACCAGTAGTAGAGATAATAGTAAGTATCTTTTGTTTATAAAAGGTTTAAAAATAAGGAAACAATTCTCCATTGTTTCCTTATTTATATTTTCACGTCTTTGTACCGGGTGGTCCAATAAGCCGATCTCTCGGCTATATATCAGAAACTATTCATGTTATAACTTTACGAGAAAAAATTCCTTAGTAAAAGTGGCTAAGAGAAATCGCTGGAAATAACTTTCAAGATTCTGGATTAACCGCTAGGGGGCGTAACCTGCGAAGAAACTTTTGAAAATCAGTTTATTGGCAAATATGTCCAATTATACCAAGTGTTAAATAAGTAAACTAGAAAGAGGCATAAATTCTGCACAAAGTTGTTCAAGTACTTTTTTTTTATTTTTTTAAATAAAGGGTGGGGGAGAGTGGGAAAGTATTTGTGGATAAATACCTATAACTTTGGTTTGGATCAACCGATTTTAACAAAATTAGTGTCATTAGAAAGAGTATGGATGAATTAATTTACATCTACTATAAAATAATTGCATTTAGTTTTAATTGTCGTAGGTAGAAGGTACTTTCGAATAGAAAAAATTAAAATTTGTTTTTCTTCAAAATTTTAATGGAAACACCTATTATTGTAAATTATAATGGAACTGGATTAAATTCGTAACAAAATGGCGCAAACCGCATGTTAATGGCTTTTAATCCAACTCGAGATATGAATAAAAACGCATAAACATAAGTAAGTATATTATTGACACACCCTGTATTATCAATTACATTAAAAATAAGTCAGTAGGTACTTTCAAAATTTTTTATAGCAAAGAACTCTTAATTTTGATACCTATTTTGACCATTGTTATTTCATATGATTAAAAATTGTTTTTTCGAAACTAAAAAGTTTACGACAATGAATTTGAATGTATTATAATTCGAATTGAAAATTGCATTTTTTCAAAGGGTGAGTCAATACTATACTTACTTATGTTTATGCGTTTTTATTCATATCTCAAATTCGAAAAAAGCTACTAACATGCGGTTTGCGCCATTTTGTTACGAATTTAATTTAGTTCCATTATAGTTTACAATAAATAGGTGTTTCCATTAAAGATTTTGAAGAAAAACGAATTTTAATTTTTTCTATTTGAAAGTCCCCTCTACCTACGACTATTAAAACTAAATGCATGTATTTTATAGTAAATGTGAACTAATTCATCCACACTCTTTCTAATAACATTAATTTCATTATAATCGGTTAATCCAAACCAAAGTTATAGGTATTTATCTACAAATACTTTCCCACTCTCCCCCACCCTTTATTTGAAAAAATAAAAAAAAAGTACTTGAACAACTTTGTGCAGAATTTATGCCTCTTTCTAGTTTACTTATTTAACACTTGGTATAATTGGACATATTTCCCAAAAAAACTGGTTTTCAAAATTTTCTTCGCAGGTTACGCCCCTAGCGGTTAATCCAGAATCTTGAAAGTTATTTCCAGCGATTTCTCTTGGCCACTTTTACTTAGGAATTTTTTCTCTTAAAGTTATAACATGAATAGTTTCTGATATATAGCCGAGAGATCGGCTTATTGGACCACCCGGTACAAGGCGGTCTTTTCGTTATATATAGGTCCAAAACAATGTATGAATAAATTTAGTATTTGCGTGGCAAATGACGGGTGATTAACCTTCTTTAGCTTTGTGCAGATATTACTAATAATATTAGATAGTAGGGAAGTGTTTTTATCCTGCCATAAAACAGTATCTGAAGGCTCTATTCGAAAACCATTTATATAATTATGATTTACCTTTATTAAAGATAGATTAACTGCACAAACAAACATACCTAACTTCCTCCAAAGTTGTAAGCTCCTCGTGCATACTCTTCATATTCAAATCGTCTTCCTTATGCGAAAGTTGTACCACTTGATTTTCCAACGCTTGATTTTGCTGGACGAGAGTTTTCAGTTGCTCCTCCAACTCCGCTATCCTCCTTTCATCCCTGCTACATTGAGCCCTCGTCTTGCTCAACTGCGACAGTAGTTGAGTCATCTGTTCCATGTTGTTATCGTTCTCCCACTCTTCCATTTGGTTAGTGCGTTCGTCATTTTTCGCTTCAGGTGATTTCGACTGCGCAGACGGAGATGATTGTGTAGGTTTCGTTGGCGTACCGTACTAGAACATACAATATTATTAATAAAAATTGACAAGTGAGTATAAGATATGTTTAGAAATTATTATATCGATAAGCCTCTTGACTTGGTATTTAATTTTCTCTAATGAAGTTTTTTTCTTAAAGACTAGGTACTTTGCATAACATTATAGATGTACTGCAATGAAACGCATAAACCATTCAAAACATACACAATTATTGTATGACGCGGCCTCGATAGGCATGCACGTTCGTAAGGAACAGGCGGATATCCATCATTTGTGAGGAGGGTTGGTACCTGTGTTAGTCGGTGATGAACTCTTTCCAACACAATGCAATAGTTTGCTTTTTTCATCCTAGTTTGCCTTGAATATGTTTTATATCGATTATAGTGTCATTTATATAGGATGTGAATGTTACTTACCGATTTATCGTAATTCCCAGATAATTATCTTCGTCGGATTCATTTGGCATTAAAATTTCTGTGGTGTAATGGGATTTTTAAAGCGAAGCTTCGATATTGGCGTTGTATTACTTTTTTACTTAAAATATTTAGAGTAAGTTATTCTTTATTTATTTTTTATTGTAAGGAATTTTCATACAAATTTAATTATTTTAGCACAGTTCAAAAATGAGGCATACAGGGTTCCAGTGAAACTATAAAGAATATAGATCCTACTGAAGATAAAATGAAGAAACTGATAAGTCTCTTGGATGTAAAGACTTCATAGATTGCCATGGTTATGATTCAGAAAGGGACAAGGAATATGTACCACCTGTTTGGGGAGAAGACTCTAGTGATTCAAATAGCGATGCTGAAGAACCCATTGTTGCTGCAAATGCAAATAGAACTGAAGGTGTGACTACTTAAATGAGTATCCAAAACACCAACTCGCAAAAGACAGAGGAACCCAAGTAATTGGAAAAGTAGTATTAGAAAAGCGGCACATGACGCAGGAAAAGAATACATATCTGTTAAAAGAAATGTTGTTTCAGCCAATAAAAATAACAACAGTAAAATACTGCACATCTAAGTGTTTGTATAAATGCCAAGCAACTTAGTACAGAAGATAGAAAGGGGACAGATTTTTCAGCGTTTTTACACTTTAACAGAACATGCAAAGATATTATTTCTATTAGCAACCTCAAAAAAATTCAGCGTAGAACGACATAGAAAAAATAAAAATGATCAAAACAGCAGAAGAAAATAGACATTTAATTATTACTTTTAAATAGGCAGTCAGAACAGAATAAACAGAGCCGCAGACTGCCAAAATAAAACAATATGGAGAAATAAAAATATCGAGAAAGAAACGAAAGGCAGAAATTTACAAAACAGTCATCAGGCCAATAATGACATACGCGACAGAAACAAGACCTGATACAGAGAGGACAAAAAGGATGTTAGAAACAGCAAAAATTAAAACACTTGGAAAAATTGATGGTAAGACACTATGGGACAGAGCTAGAAGTATAGATATAGGACGTAGATGCAAGGTGGAGAACATCAAGTATCTAACCACTGTATCTGGTTTTGTGTTTCTGGCTGTATCATCTGTGTATAGACTGTCTGCTGTGTATAATAATACTACCACTTGTGTTACTCCTGTTTCAGTGTTCCGGCTCCTGATAGTTTTTGTCTGAGTTGGATCCTAAATTTCCTATCTGTATAACACAACGAAAGGTAAAAGGTTAAGATCACGAGGAAGATCTCCAACACGATGGATCGAACAAATTACAGGCATATGCAAAAGACCTAGAGAGATCGAGAGATAGAGAGAGATCGAGAGAGAGATCGAGAGAGAGATCGAGAGAAAGAGAGAGAGAGAGAGAGAGATCGAGAGAGAGAGAGAGTGATAGAGAGAAAGGGAGAAAAGGGATAGAGAGAGAGATAATATAACAGTTTATATATCAGTATAGTAATTGATTGCTCCATTCGTCGTTGATCATCTATTATATTTACACCGAAGCATTTGTCATCATTGGGAGATAGTTAGTAATCAGTTCTTAGTGAGATTTTTCTTCTTATTCAGTCGAATAAACTAAACTGATATCCGTGTAGGGGAGGAATTTGTTTTTGTTTTGCAGAATTTTTTGCACATTTCGGAGTTCTGGTTTGTTTCGATTTAGGCTGGATCTAATCGTTTCCATGTGTGTTTTCGATGTTCTAGTAATTTTTGTTTAACCTCGTAGTTCAGCAAATTTGCCTTATATTTTACTACTGGATTGAAATTAGCAATGTCACGTATCCATGACTTTGCATAAAGGAACACTCAAAATGCACAAAAAATACACTTACCTCATCGTTATGTACCGTAGAATCCACCGAATCTTCATCTAGTCGATCTACGTGTCTTAAAGTAACTATTTCCCTGGAATTCGTGGGTGTCAAAGCCTCATTATTTCTTTGTGATTTCCTTTTGAGTATATCGAGTTGTAGTTTAAGATCATCGTTGGTGGACTGCAACTCTTCGACTTTTGCTTCTAAAGCGTCGACAGTGGCATTTATGGTCTTAAAAATAACAAATTTAGTAAACAAGAAATCAATCAACATCAAAAAATTTAGATAAGAGATGTATGTTTATATATTATACTACATATCATTATGTTGATTGCGTGTGGTAGAAGATATACTATTTAAACTATTTGCTACTAATGATCAAGTAGTGACCGCGAAAGAAAGAAATGAATAGAATGAACAGAAAAAGTTGCTGCACTCTTATAAAATGTTATATATAACAGGACATAAAAGAAGAAACTTTAGCGAAAGAGAAAGAAAATTAGCGAAGCATACCTTGATGATCTTCTTGTCCGATGAATTTTCAAGGACCAGACGGTGATTCGCCCTTTCTAGATCCTGGATACTAACTTCTAGTTGCTCGTAGATTCGTAGTCGTGAGTCATTGACTTCTCGGAGGGCAACAACTTGCTTCGTTAGATACTAAAAATAAAAACATACTATAATCTCTAATATCTTAAACCATGTGCCAACAGATGGCGCTAAGGTTATAAACCGCGTTTTTACCAAATTAAGTTTGGTTATAAAGCTTATGCACATTATATTAAAATTATGATGTTAAGAATTTTATCTAACAATTTATTTATATAAATTCAAACAGCTTATGTATATTATACTTAAGTCATTCTATACGAATGCTTATTAAGTTAGCACAAATGGTGATAAATATTTCACATTTTGTAGATTTTAAAAGAACGGTTTTAACGACATTTAAAAAAATGACGACAATTAAAAAAAATGTGTTAAAAACCTATTATTCAGTAAACACTTACTTCTATTTCTTGAGCTTGATCATCAATGACAGTTTGGTGTTGTTTCAGTGATATTTCTAGTTCTTTGTTCCGTTCTAGTAAAGTCTTGCCAAGTTCTGCTGCCAGCTGAAGATCTGTAACAAAGCATTATTGTTAGGGAATTTATCTTGACTTAAATAATTGAATCTAGACAAAACTTTGGGAAAATTCATACTTGTAACCTTAAGTTTAATACAGTCGAAGCTCATGGTATATATTCGATTATTCGCGGGGTATATATTCCGTAAATAAGCCGCGAATACAGAAACCGTGAATACAGAATGGTTTTTATATGAGGTTATAGAGGATACGTTCCTAGGTGACGAAATAAAAAAGAAACATACATTTTGTTTAATTACATATTATCTTTATCTTTAGGTAATGCTTTAAAGAATATTTAAAACTCCTTCAATTTAGACTTATAATCAACAGTGGCATTAGAAATTTGCCTCTTAAAAATAAGACTTCTTTTCATAGACAGATCAATTTTCATAAAGAAATCTCAAAGCTCATATGCCGTTCTTAAACCTTCATTAAGAGTTTTCGAATTAAACGTCACGTTCTCAGTGGTTGCTGAAGCTTCTTCTCCAATGGGTTGTAAATTTAACATTTTCTTCAAGTCCGTTCAGTCAATTCTTCATCTTGCAATTCAAGCAACTTCAGAACATCACTTGATTCTATCTGTTCGAACCCATCTCGTCCTATTCCACTCGCAATTTTGGCAATGTTTGCAGTTAAGGTTTGATCTTCCACATATTCTTCGTCATTTCCCGGAGTCAGAACAGGCCACAGTTTTTTCCAGCATGATTTACAGTATGAACAGATCTGACGGGATAGATGTCCAAAGGTTTAAATATATAATAATAAAATACCAATAAATAACTCTTTGATTAAATGTGTACACATAAAACCGTACAACAGAGTTGAAAGGGAGGATATAAAAACCTGTAGTTGACAATTAGTCCTTAAATGTTATTCAGAAAATTATTTTAAAAAAATGACGGTTCTTATTATTAAATGAAATAGTAGAACTTAAAATACAAAAAAAATATTATACAAAAAAAATTATTAAAATTGGCAAATAAGACTTAATAGAAATGAATAGTGTTCCACACTCTAAATGGGGGAGGTCGTTCCGGCTGGTTCCCTGAAGTTGTCCATGAATAGTTTCAGAGAGGTCTGACCTCTGAAGGAACCCCTATGTGTGATGGGCAAAGGTGTAAATCCAAAACTTAATTCTTCTTCTTCTGGTTCCTATCCGTTTCGGATGTTGGAAATCATATTGGCAATCATAACCTTGCTCGCTGCGGCTCGAAACAGCTCCGTTGAGGTTTTCTCAAACCATGTTCTTAAATTCCGCAGCCATGATATTCTCCTTCTACCGGGTCCTCGCTTACCTTTGACTTTACCTTGCAATATAGACTGTAGCAGGGAGTAACGGTGCTGATTTCTCATAACGTGTCCCAGATATTGCAATCTTATGCGTTTGATCGTAAACACAATCTCTGGTTCCTTCTTCATTTTTCCTAGAACTTCCTTGTTCGTGATCCTTGCTGTCCATGATATTCTCAGCATTCTTCTATAAAGCCACATCTCAAATGCTTCAAGTTTTTTAATAGTGGTGTCTGTAAGCGTCCATGCCTCCGCCCCGTACAACAACACAGAGAAAACATAGCATCTCAAATGTCTCATTTTTGTATCAAGGGATATGTTGTGACTTTTGAAGATGGCGCTCATTTTGTTAAAGACCGTTCTTGCCTTTCCTATGCGGCACTTTATTTCCTGTAAATTTCCACTGTCGTTAATAATAGTTCCCAGGTAACAATACTGTTTTACTCGCTCTATCTGCGTCCCATTAATGTATAGATGAGCCCCGTTTATATTCTCCTTGCTGATAATCATTTGTTTCGTTTTGTGGGTATTAATGTTTAGTCCGTACTGTTGACTGTACTCGTTTATTCTGTCCATTAGCCTCTGAAGTCCCTCTAAACTATCTGCTATCACCATGGTGTCGTCGGCATATCTAACATTGTTTACTCTTTCACCATTTAGAAGGATGCCTTCGTCTATTCCGTAAAGAGCCTCGTTAAAAATTTTCTCTGAGTACATATTAAATATCAACGGCGATAGGATACATCCCTGTCTAACTCCACGTAGTATTTTTATGTGATCTGTTTCTTCTCCGTTAATTTTCATGTATGCGGTCTGATTCCAATAGAGTTCTGAAATTATTCTGAGGTCTTTGTCATCCAGGTCTGCCTCTTTTAAAATGTTTATCATCTTTTGATGTTGAACTCTGTCAAATGCCTTTTCATAGTCGATCAAGCACGCGTATACGTCGCAGTTAACGTCCCTGCATCTTTGAATCAGTACCTGTACTCCGAAAAGTGCCTCTCTGGTACCCACTGCGTTAATGAAGCCGAACTGTCTGTCCGATATTTGTTCCTCGCATTTCTTATAAATTCTTCCATGGATGACTCTAAGAAACAGTTTCAACATATGGCTCATTAGGCTGATTGTTCGATATTCTTCGCACTTTTTAGCCCCCTGTTTTTTAGGTATCGCTATGAATTCTGATTCTAGCCATTTATCAGGGATGATTCCTGTATTATTATTTACCTACTATAAAACTACTATACTATAAAACTTAATTATTTCTCTTTAAAACCAAAATTAAAAAAAAAAACAAAATATAGAATTCTTCCCCTTGACTTCTGCTCGACTGCTATAGTAGGTTAAAAAGAACATTTGTGTTAGAGTTCTTTTTTACTCTTGATAAAAAGTAGGGAAAACACAAGGTTTATGAACCTTGAAAGGTTTTATGTAAGGTATTATGAAAGGTTTTTTATGGTTTGACAATATTTTAAGTACAATGGATTAATTATATAGACAATTTTAACGAAAAGCATGCTATGGATATATTTTAAAATATAAAAGAACGGAATGAGACAGAATATTTTTATAGATACTCTTAATAGATAATAGATAATTTTAAAGATAGATAATTATGTTATTAAAGCCGGAAAGTAAAATTAAAATACATGATGATTTTATATCAGTAATACTACAGACAGGAGAACTACTTACTACAACAAATGACCAAATAGAGAGATGGAAAGAGCATTTTCAGGAGATGCTAGGCACGCCCAGGGATAACGCAGGTGAAAATTGTCGAAAATCCACAGAATATAGACTTGCGTATATCTTGCGACCGCCCCTTCCCAAAACAGAGATAATAACAGCTATCAAATCTCTGAAAAATAACAAGTCTCCGGAATCGATAACATTGCTGCCGAAATGCTTAAAACTAATCCGCATCTAACTGCTGAACTTTTGCTCCCCATAATCCGAGAGGTGTGGGAAACAAACCGCATTCCAGCGGGCTGGAAAAAAGGCATCATTACTAAGCTTCCAAAAAAGGGCAACCTCACACTATGCAAAAATTGGAGAGGAATAACCTTGCTTACCGCCATAAATAAAATCTTCACGACCATCATACTTAAAAGATTAACAAACAAGGTTGAATTTCGAGCTAATCAAATAGGCTTTAGACCAGAATCCTCCTGCATAGACCACATTAATACTGTGAGGCTAATAATGGAACAATCGGTTGAATGGAACACACCCCTATACATGGTTTTTGTTGATTTCGAGCGTGCTTTTGACAGCTTATCTCATGATGCAATATGGAAAATTTTAGAGCTAAGAAACATCCCGCATAAAATAATTTCCATTATAAAGTTACTGTACACTGAAGCGAAATGCAGCGTGACACACAATGGGATCAACAGTGACGAATTTGACGTACTTACTGGAGTCAGACAGGGATGCAGTGCTTTCTCCGTTTCTTTTTAACATAGCTCTAGACTATGTTCTCTCCAAACTAGACTCTGACACAAGAGGGATACAATGGACGTTAACCACACGCCTAAGCGATCTAGAATACGCCGACGAAATCTGCCTGTTAGGACAAAGGTTCCAAGATGTGGCTGACCAATTGGAAACACTTTCCACTGAAGCCAATAAAATAGGTTTGAAAATCAATATTGGTAAAACCAAATCCATGAGAATAAATGCAAGAAACAACACGCTATTCACCATTAATAACATGCAATTGAAAATGTGGAAAACTTTACGTATCTTGGAAGTGTCATAACAGAAAGCGGAGGTACAGAAGACGATATTCGTATGAGGATACGAAAAGCGCAACAAGCTTTCAGCATGCTCAACCCTGTTTGGAGGTCTGGAGATACAACTACGAGGACAAAGATCCGCATATTCCAGTCAAATGTCATGTCTGTACTACTTTACGGATGTGAAACCTGGAAAGCGACAAAAACCCTTACAGACAAACTGCAGGTCTTTGTTAATAAATGTCTACGAAGAATTGTTCGTATGGTAAACATCGAAGATAAAGTCACAGAAAGTGAGGGGTTGGATCGGTCACACACTCCGAAAAAATAACTCCAGTATTGCAAAGACTGCCCTAGAGTGGAATCCCCAAGGAAAACGAAAAAAAGGTCGCCCAGTACAAACTTGGAGAAGATCCATCATGGACGAGATAAGAAAACAAGGAAAGTCTTGGAATGAGGTGAAGGCCTTAGCGCAAAATAGAACCCGATGGCGCATTTTCACTGAAGCTCTATGCTCCACTTAGGAGTTCAGAACCTTATATATATAATACTTTTGATTAAGACGTTGAATATTTCTTAACGAAATGATGTGAAAAATTTTAGATAGATATATCTACTATCACAGGAAAAATGACAATATTATAGGATATCGAAATTGCTGATGGTTTTTATACTTTTTATTGATAATTGAATCAACTTATCGGCTCAGAGTGGCTGCAAACCAAACACGACACTTAAAAAATAAACCAAAACTACTTCTTCTTCTTAAAAAAAACTTTAATATCTAAAAAAACTTTATGCCATCCCTGGCCACCTACTTTAACCCAAGTGTCTTTAATTAACGTCAGAGCAGAAGTGCACGATGGCCGCTCGTTTGGATTCAGCTAAACATGTTTGTCAAAATCTTCGCTTGGTGTCGCTGTTTATACCGATTTAGAATTTAAAAATTAAAAAAATATTGA